GGTCGAGAGATGGCGTATAGATCAAAAGTTAGGTTTAACATTGGAAGATGTGAACTTGATAAGACAGATTAAAGATCAAAGTAGAGCTCATATTAGGAGAATATATAGTGTTTTGATAGAGTTTGATTTGGAAACAGAATTAGTTAAAGATTGTATGATTAAATGGGCTCAAAATATTCAAGAACCAATTATGTTAGAAACATGGGAAACAATTTGGGTAAGAAATGTCAAGTTCACTCAAGCACAGAATTTAAGGGAAATTTTTTATAAAATGTTTTATAGATGGCATTTGGATCCCCAAAAATTGTCTTGCATGTACCCGAACTTGCAGCCAAAATGTTGGAGATGTGGTAATTTGGATGCAACTTATTATATCTGGTGGACATGTAGGGATGTTAAAGCCTTTTGGATTAAGATTTGGTGGAACCTTCAACAGATTTTTAAGAAAAAGATAAAATTTACACCGCAATTATTTTTATTGGGTATCATTGATAATTTGGACTCAAAAGAAATGAACTTGATGTTGTACTGTATAACAGCAGCGAGGACATTGATTGCTCAAAATTGGAAAAAGGAGATATTACCGACTATGGATGATTGGAGACAGAAAGTCTCATACTTTGCAGAAATGGCAAAAATATCCGCATACCTGAAGGATCAGTCTCAAGAGAAATTTATTTTGGTATGGAGAAGATGGATAGATTATATTCAGAGAAAATATGAAATGAACAATTATCATATAGCCTTTGATTAATTATTGTTATTTATAAATATTTTTATATATAATTTATATATATAGTTTATAGTTAAGTTGATTATTGTATATTAGAGTTACAGTAAGTTTATACTTGTTTATATTATGAATGGGTTGTTTGGGTTAAATTTGGATTATTATGTGATTATTCCTGTACTCAGTTCTGGGAAGTCCGGGGGGGGAGAGGAGAAGGGGATTAGGGGATAGAAATTATAAAAATTGATGTATTTATATATTATAGGTAAATAACGGAATTGTATTAAAAAGAGATGCTCGGCTGGTACCCCAAACTGCACTCGATGAGGTAGTTAAGAAGGTGAGATGGGATGTAGGGAGGTGGAAAGGAGGAAAGAGGAGAGGTTGTGGGTTTAGGGGGAGGAAGATGGAAGTGAATGAGGGTGGATGCAAGGCGGGGACTGCCGAGCATCTCCGAAAACATATTGAGTAGGATTATCTTTTTTGCTTGTGTTTTAAGTAAATGCATCATATTTGTATTATTTGTTGTTTAATTTGAAAAATTAATAAAAATTTTATAAAAAAAAAAAGAAAGTCGTCTTATACGCTGGAAAATACGGTAACTATAGTTTCAACTGGGAAACTGATCATCCTAGATCCGTGGTGGCGAACCTATGGCACGCGTGCCACAGGCGGCACGCGGAGCCGTCTCTGGTGGCACGCGAGCCATTGCTGGGCCGAGCTGTTGCCTCCTCTTCGCGCATGCGCAGTTCTCCGCACATGTGCAGTCTGGGAATAGGCGAGAGGCTACAGCGGCCGGCCGCGCAGGGGAGAAGAAAGACAAGGGGCAACGGGGGCAGTAATGGGGATGGCGAAAGGCATGGGGGGGCAGCCTGCCTGGTTAAGCTGCCTTGCCTCGGCCTCATGGAGCTATGGCGGAGGCAGCGGTGCAGAGGCTGATCCAGCCAGCCGCGCAGGGCAGAGGTGCTGCCCAGGGCCAAAGGGGAGGCCGGGCAGATTGCGGGCACCAGCAGGAGTGCCGGCGCGAAGGCCGATTGCACGCGTGAGCAGGACAGCCGTGCAGGGCAGAGGCAAAGACGAGCCTGGCCGGCCGCAAAGGAAACAGGCGGGAAAGGTGAGTAGCACGCCTAAAAACAAAAAAAAGGAGAGAGAGCGGGAAAAGCAACGAGCCGGCAGATCCTCCCAGAAACAGCTGGAAGTTCTGATCC